CTCAAGTCTGGGTGAGACCTGAGTTGTAGTGGACTTGTCAATCTAACTACAACAAGAGAACATACAAGTCTAACCATAATAAGAATTTAATGAATCATCTCCCTCATGGCACATAAAAAGCCAATTAAAACACTAACAATCAAAACATCTACCAAACATCAAGCAAACAGATCAATCTACACTAAAGCAAATACAATACAACACTAACAATCATGACCCTTAAGCTTACTAAATCAAGCCACATAGATAACAATGAGTTGTCTCCCATAAAGCTCTTAATTTAACGTCACTTGCCCGACAAATGATTCCACCTGGATCAAAATTTCAATTAAGTAATCCTTGATCAATAGCCCAATATTTTATAGATCCAGGGATTCCTACAAAGTCCTCAAACTTAAATTTTTCTTTCAGCTCTTCCTTTTCATATTTATTCATATCCTTGTTCCTCATATTTCTTTCTAGATCCAATATTCTTCTAGTAATTTTCTCAATTTGCATATTAATATCATCCTTGAAATTTATAAGAAATGGATCTTTATATGATACTTCATGATCTCCCAAATTCTTTGGATCAATTTCTCTAGATAATTCAGATTCTAGATCAATATCTTCTATGTTACTCTTCTGTTTCAAATTATCTTCCAATTCTTCAAGAATTTCTTCCATTAATCTTTCAATTTTCTTGTCCTTATCTCTCAACTCAAAGCTCTTTTGAAACAAATCCTCAAATGCTCTTCTAAATATCAGTTCAATAATTTTAAATTGCTCATAATTCAATTCCTTAGGATTTATCTCAGAGTCCCTAGGTAAAATCTCTAGGGGGTAACTGTTAATTGCATTAATAATCTGCCCCAGCATCAGAATCTCATCATTCTGCCCTAGCATCAGAATCTCATTCATTTTGTTTGTATACTACGAAATTTATGACTTTGTGACTTTGAATAACTCTTTTATATGAGATCTTTTACTGGTTTCATCATTCAATTCAGGTTCATCTTGTGATTGTATCGAATATGAAGATATAGAGACTGGTGGTGTATATGAATTAGACAAATAAAAAGACTTTAAAA